GTCAGTTAAACCTCTGACTCCTGATTTCCACTCAGGTCAGGACCTCAGGGTCGTGGGGTTGAGCCCCACACTGGGCTCTGTTCAGTGTAGAGTCTACGGAGATTCTCTTCCTCTCCCTACCCACCCCCACTCGCACATGCGTGCTCTCTCTCTCTCCAATAAATAAGTAAAATCTTAAAAAAAAAAAAAAGTGGAACACTCATACATTGCTGATGGGAATATAATATTGTGCAGCCACTGTGGAGAATAATTTGGCAGTTTCTCAATAAGTTAAACATAGAATAACCATAGGACCCAGCAATTCCACTCCTAGGTATATAGTCAAAAAGAACTGAAAACAAGTGTTCAAACAAAAACCTGTACACAAATGTTCACAGCAGCATTATCCATAATAACCAAAAAGTGGAAACAACTTAATGTCTATCAATGAATGGTTAAACAAAATACAGTATATCCACACAACATATTATTTAATAATAAAAAGAAATGAAATTCTGATAATATGCTACAACAGAAGCCAGGCACAAAAGGCCATATATCATGTGGCCAATATCATGATTCCATTTATATGAAATATCCAGGACAAGAAATCCATAGAGCCAAAAAGTAGACTAGAGGTTACTAGGGGCAAGGGGTGATGGGAATGGAGAGCTTTTGCCATGCAGTTTCTGTTGGAGTGATGAAAAAGTTTTAAGAAACAGAGTGGTAATGGTTGTACAACACTGTAAATATAATTAATGGTACTGAATTGTACATTTAAAAATGGTTAAAATGGTAAATTTTATGTTACATATATAACCACACACACACACGCAAGCAAACCAACCTAATACCAAACTTCAACATACAGTATGAGATGCAGCATGAGAATCTTAGATGAGACTCTTCATAGTAGGAAATTCAGATATAAAATTACACATCTTCTTGGGTTCCATTTAACAGGCTTACTCTTTCAGCTCATTCTCAGCTTTAAAAACTATTTAAATGCATAAATTCTAAGGCTTGAATAATGTTCCTATTATATGAAGTATTAATCTTAGATTTTCTCAACCTAATTTCATAATGTGTGACCATTTATCACACTTTGGCATAACAGAACTGTAATTTTAAAAGCTCAAATGTGAATTACACATTTACATATAAATTGTAAATGTCCAAAAGCAAAAAGCAAACCCATAATGAGAAACCATTTCATACCCTCTAGCTATGGCTATAATAAAAAAAAGAAGACCAATAATACGGGTCGGCAATGATGTGGAGAAACCAGAACCCTCATGCATTGCTGGTGGGAATATAAAATGGTGCAGCCACTTTGGAAAATGGTTTGGCAGCTTCTCAAAATATTAAACACAGAGTTACCATATGACTAAGCAATTCCACCCAAGAGACATGAAATCATATGCTCATCGAAATGTTTTCACAAATGTTCATAGTAGCATTATTCATAATAGCCAGAAGGTAGAAACAATCCAAATATCCATCAACTGCCAAATGGATAAACAAAATGTTGTACATCTACACAATAGTATACCAGTTGAATATAAAAGGGAATGAAGTACTGATAAATGCTACAACATGAATGAACCTCAAAAGCACTGTGCTAAGAAAAAAAAAAGCCAAACACAAAAGACCATATGTTGTATGATTCCATTTATATGAAATGCTCCCCAAAAGGCAAATCTATAGAAAGTAGTTTAGCGTTTACCTGGGGGGGGGGGGCGGGCAATGGCAAGGGACTGCTAATGGGGACCAGATTTCACTCTGAGGTGATGGAAAGGCTCTAAAATTAGATTTGTAGTGACTGATGGCGGAACAATCTTGTGAATATACTAAAAACCATGGAACTGTATTTTAAGTGTATAAATTTTATGGTATATAAAATATATTTCAATAAAGTTGTTTTTTTAAAACCTGCTCCATCTTTTCGTTCCTATAGCCATCCGACTTTATTTCTTATCATTCACCAATATGAACTTTCTAATTTGTCCATCTAGAGTCCATTGAAAACCCCACACTCATTTCAATTGCTTGACTCTGCTCACATTGTTCTCCTACTGGGAATATTCTCCCTAGGTTACACTCCAGTCACAAATTCATTTTGAAGATTTTCCTGCCCAAGTCAATCCTCATTGACCTAATTTTCCTCTAGATTCCATACCACTTGCAATTGTTAAGACTGTAACCTCAAATATATACATAAAGCAGTTTCATCTTACACTCCATCAACAGCTAATTTTTGCCATAACCTCTAATTCTTGCCTTTAATCTCTTTTATCTTCTTAGAGACAAGCTAGCATCTTGAACACAGGTGGTACAAATGTCTGCTGAATAACATATGCATGCCTTAATGCAACTTTCTACGTATGTGTTCAATAGTATCCAAACCTTAACAAATAGCCCAAGTCTTAAAGCAGGGAACAGAAATGAAGAAAAAGGAAACTAAAATGATGGTACATGCTATCACTTCTCAACAGTGTATTAGAGAAGTGTATGTTCTTATTGCACATTTCAAGATGGCCTTTTACTGCTGCCCTCAAACCTGGGTGTACTAGGCATCCTATCTTTTTTTTTTTTCAGTAGGCTCCACATTGAGTGTGGAGCCTGATGTGGGGCTCGATCTCACGACCCTGAGATCATGACCTGGGCAGAAATGAAGAGTCAGACACTTAACCGACTGAGCCACTCACACGCTCCAAGGTTTTTGTTTTTGTTTTTTTTAAGATTTTATTTATTTAGTTGACAGAGAGAGACACAGTGAGAGAGGGAACACAAGCAGGGGGAGGGGGAGAGGGAGAAGCAGGCTTCCCGCGGAGCAGGGAGCCCGATGCGGGGCTCGATCCCAGGACCCCAGGATCATGACCTGAGCCAAAGGCAGACGCTTAATGACTGAGCCACCCAGGCACCCCCAAGAGAAGAATTTAAATACGAAACTCCACTTACTCCTAACAGTGGGGTACCAAGATTCAAACCCCAATGCCTTTATAGGCAGTCAGGACAAAATTAACACAATGAAGAATGGAAGTACTGTACAGACATGTGTGAGGTGGGAATAAGAAGGTCTTGCTTTCAAAGGATAGAGGGTTGGCAGGGGCAGAAGACAAGTCTTCTAAACCAAGCTTCTGAAAGCAACAAAGACAGCAGGTCATAGCAAAAAGCCACAAATTGCTGAGATCTGATCTAGAGCCTGACGGCAGGAGCCTAGGACTAACAAATTCAAAAGCATTTCTTTCTGGTACCCTGAATAGGCAAGTCTAATTCCACTAATGGGAAATTCCTCAACCTGGCCCTGAAAGGCTACAAATATTGAACACTTCTCATTTGTTTAGCTTCAGAAATATGTATTTTCCCCTTCCTCTATATTTATACTTACCTGGTAACTTGCCTTGTGTTGTTTAAAGGCCAAAACACATATACTGTAATCATTCAGACTTGCTTATGGGATTTCCCCGGTAGCAAAGTAGTTATCTCCAAATGTATCATTATTTCAGTTTGTTACAGATTTTTTTTTACTTGCTTAATTTGGGTCTCTTTAATAATTACTTTCTTATTTGTAAAACTCCTTTAAATTATACCTTTTCTTCCCATCATTTCCTTTTTAATATTCAGTGGTTTAGATTAAGGGATTATGAAATGTACTTAAGGTGGGTAATTCCTCACTTCAACATTCAGAAGACTATTAAGGTACAAAGAGAAAATAAACAATATAAACGCCTAGAAAATGTTTTTCACAATTTATGTACTATTATCATTTGCTGCCTTTTTTGAACTCACATTTACAGATGTTAACAATCCTAGTTTAAATGTTTAATGAAGCATTTTCATTCTGCTTTTTGCAGAAGGCTATCAAGATTTCTTCAAACTATGTATGAATACAGACAGCATTTGATTATCATTTTAAATAATGACTTCAACACACCAGGACAACTTCTCCCAGTGAATATTTTGTTCAATAATAAGAAGAGAAAGCATCATTATCAAGAGTCCAAATGTACTGAACCAGAACAGAGCAGTTATACACAGGTCTTGTCATTTGATGGAATCACCCAGATGTATAAATAAGAATCTTGACTTCTTAGAGATAAAGAAATCACTGAATAAATGAAAGAAATACAAAAAGCACCATTTATCAACATACATTTCTCTCTGCCCATTATTATACTACTGGCCAATGATGTTAAATAGGTTGTGAAATTGGTAAATGAAAGGCTTTCAACTGCCTACAAGTAAGAAAAACTGGTAACTTTTAAATAATGTGCAACAAGGGCAAGCTGACAATGCCTGGCATATACCAGGAGCTCAAAAAATTATTGCTGAACAAGGAATTAAAATCAGAGCCTTCAGGGGTGCCTGGGTGGCTCAGTTGGTTAAGCGACTGCCTTCAGCTCAGGTCATGATCCTGGAGTCCCAGGATCGAGTCCCACATGGGGCTCCCTGCTCGACAGGGAGCCTGCTTCTCCCTCTGACCCTCCCCCCTCTCATGCTCTCTCTCTCTCTAATAAATAAATAAAATCTTTAAAAAACAAACAAACAGAGCCTTCATGAGGTATATGGAACATAAACAATGTCTTATAAAATAAATGTGTTCTTTAAAGACTTTGGAAAAGAAAATATGCTAATATATGTTTTCTTATTTTATCTTTTAAAATATAACTTACATCCAAAAATATTAACTGGGGGTTGAATGTGCATGAAAGAGATCTTAAAAGCTTTATTAATCTCTTCAAGTGTCTCTAGTTCACCCATTCACAGTTATGTAAGGAAAGCAAATGGAGTACTAATTTAAAATTCATTCCTTTCAGTCACAATGTCAGTAATATAGCCAGTAGGACAGGAAATCAGAGAAGTTTGAATTTTCTATACCTGTTCTTTAGGATTACTATTGACAAATCTTCAAGTTTTAGTATGGTCTATCCACACAACCATTATTAAATTTAAAGGAAACCCTCCGAAGAAAAATATCAAAGAGCAACCTATGCCTCAAGATGGGAAGCACAACTTACTTCAACTTGGAACAATTCTCCAGCCCCCTCACAGTCATTGGATGTGATTATTGGAGTATGAATATGCACAAAGCCACTGTCCTGGAAGAAAAGAAAACCCACTTTTTTCAGTGTATTTGTATATAAAACAATTCTTAGATCATACAACTGATTATACTATTAAAAGAGCACTAAGAGAATGCCATATCAAATCTCTAACCTCCCAAGTATAACTGATGAGATACCAAGTTGAGTGTTTTACTGTGCAGAGAAGCACAGTGAATTTTAAATCAAGAACTGACTTAGACATTCTCTACTCCAACATGATTTCAAAGATAAGGAAATTGAGACCCAGAGAGACTTAATGAAAAATTCACACAACTAGTCGATGGCAGAGAGAGCCAGGACCGGAACCTAGGCCTTTAAGGTCTCTCTGGTGTATTTTTTCTTCCCACTTCTCTAACACACTGGTAGTGAATCAACACACACACACATACACACACACACAGAGTCACTCAAGGCTAATGCGCAACCATGTTGCCTGCACTGCTAAGGGACTACGAAGTGATCAATATGAAGTTCAGTTGTTATTTTGGAATGAGACCCCCCAATTGTCACAAACCACCAAAAAAGGAGAAAAATTAAAGTTGGCAAATAGGGACTGAAGAAATAAATAGCAACAAAGGCAGAAATGATTTTTAGGAAGTCTGTCAGCAAATTGATGGCACAGAACACTATACACAGCATAGGCAGTGCACTTTCTTTGCCTCAAGGAAGATTCTGAGCATCAAATCCATCCATTACTGAGGCGCCCAATTTCAATTCTTCCGCTCCGAAGTCTGAGCTATTTCCATTAGTGAACCACAAAAGCTGTTTGCTAGTAGGACTGAAATAACCCACCAACTTCAAGGTTATACTTCTTTCATTTTGACTATGGATGTGGCAAAAGGTTACATTCAGTGTAAATGTTGCAGGTGGGTGTAGAACTTACGCTGCAGAGGCACAATAGTATGTGTTTCACACGAAAATTTTGATCTTGAGGTCAGTGCAATGAATTCATACATGCACATTTAATCTCTGCCGAATTACACCTATCACTGATGGAATGTAAAATGTTTCAGTGCATTACACCAGCCGCCTCCCAAATTTGCCCTTCCCTTCTTAAAAAGGTGGAATTCAAGTATTCTGGCTATGATAAAAAGTACCCAGTTAACAACTTGTCTTATGATGTAGACTGATTAAATATTCAAGCTATAAATTAGGAGTCTCAGAAAATATTCAAATATATACTTAACCTGGGAGCTACGTGCCTAGAGGTGCCACACAAAGCACATTATAGAGAACGAATGAAATGTAATCAATAACATTACTGCATAAAATTTTTATCTCCTAGGAACCAGAATTATGGACATGAATCATTTATTCCACATGAATACAGGCAACTATGAGCAGGAGTGCAGTAAACAAAGAAAGGAAGTGAAAAATCCAAAGGAAATGAGGGTGGTGAGAGGGAGGGGGAGAGGGAGGAGAAAATCTAACGGCTAAATGTAATTGCCAAAGTTAGAACTGGTCAATTGCCACAAGAAACAAAACTGCAAATCTTGTGAAAAAAACTATCTGGGTTTAAAAAGAAAAAATCACTCAAGTAGTGGGAATTATTCTTAATACTCAATTAATGCTAAACCTTTCAAAAGGTATCACCAGCTTTTTAAGCCTTAATGCTGCTAGAAGGCTTATATCGAAGTCTGTAACATTCCCACCAAAAGCTATAAAGAACAGACTCCAAAGGTAGAATAATAAAGCATAGAGAACAAAATCCAAAAAAGAGCAAGTGGATAGGGAAGTAGAAAAATAAAAAGGAAAATAAACAGCAAGGAGTGGGGGAATACTGTCTGCCTCCACCAGGGTAACAGTGTCAGATATTTATCCCATCCTACAGTAAAGGGGTTCCTAACTAGAAATAGGAAGGCCAGAGAAGGAGCCAAAAATAAAAGTACACACTTACCCAATTTTTCTTTTCTTTTTTTCCCCCCTTAAGATTTATTTATTTATTTGAAAGAGAGAGCAAGAGAAGACACCAGCAGGGAGGAGGGGCAGAGGTAGAGGCAGAAGAAGGCTACCTGCTGAGCAAGGAGCCCCATGGGGGAGGGGCAGAGGGAGCAGCAGGCTCCCTGCTGAGCTGGGAGCCCGACCCTGATGCGGGGCTCAATACCAGGACCCTAGGATCATGACCTGAGCCAAAGGCAGACGCTTAACCGACTGAGCCACCCAGGCACCCCTACTCACCCAATTTTTCTGATTCCACCTGCCACCTCTAAATATCTAAATATTTTTGATACACATTTTAGAACCAGATATTTTATAAGACACTGAGTATCTGAAATTTATAAAATTCACATACTAAGGCCCATGCACATCACTCAAAACCTCATGGACTGTATTTTTCTTTTACACTCACACAAAGTAAGCATCATTATTTAATCAGAATCAACAAGGAAGAAACATGACAACAATTGCTAGCCACTGGCAACAAAAAGTGACAGCAAGAAGACCAAAAAAAAAAAAAAATCCATAAAAAACAGTCACAGGAACTCAAAGACACCATAGTCTGGGGTCATTCAGCAGAGCAGCAAAGAATACACCCTGACAGGCTTTTAAGGCCTTGCCATACAGAAGAGGGAAAAACCTGATACTCAAAAGTCAGAATCTGGACTCATCAAGAAAGGGTAAACTCTTCTATTGGCTCAATTAGGAAGCCAGGGAACCATGTAATATATTTTAGGATAACCTCCATTGGAAATTAGAAAAAAAAATTGTGCCTAACTACTCTGTTATGGGAGAAACTCAGCTCTTCAAAATAATTCATACCTTGAGGATTCTAGATATCCAAGTTTTAGTACACAGCAAAGGTGTCACTTTTATGCACAAACCAACTTATACACAAAACATTTTTGATACTCAAACGAAAAAATGACTTTCTAACCTAGAAATATTAGGAAAAAATAGCAACTAGAACAGTACCTTTTAAGTTAGGATACTTTAAGGTATGAAACTCTTAGATTTTGAGTCTCAACATCTTTTAGGGAGTCTAAAGTAGTAAGTCACAGAAATAGTACCAAGTACTAGATAACATATAACTATTATTTAATATGCCCTATCGTATTCTGTGATTTCAATTCAGTCCTAAGTGTTATATATACAAATGGGTAACATTATAGAATTACCAGGATTATATTTTCCAGGGCTTGACAATTAAAAACTGAATTGATAGCACTCAAAAATAAGCCTTTATAACTATAACCAATAGTGCTAAAATTCATTATTTGCAACCACTTAAAATGTTATTTTGCTTATTTTTTTATTTCAGATTTTTCCCAGTTTGTTAAATTGTTTACACATTTGTAAAAGCTGCCAGTAATAAATGTATAAAGTAGGTAAAGCTCACTTGCCAATGGACTGCCAATATCACCATCTAGTGGCCAGAAATCTACAAAATTTTCAGTATTGAAGCAGGTCTACTTTATCCACTATTTAAAGCCATATGGGGCAAGAAACATTTTTAGATCTGAACAAATTTTCTGCTTGTGTGGTTAAGCACTTCTGAAAAGCCATATGGAAGCTGCATAAGAAAGTTTATGAGAGCATATGGAAATGCACCCTTTCAAACTATATAACAGGATGACATAGTATAATGTGATTATTTTTCTTTGTTTATTCAAAACTATATGCTTCAAAGCCACAATGCTCTTTAGCTGTTTCACCAGAAACTAACTCTGAAGGAGCTTTTCAAAGAGCAAGAACTCTCTAGGTAAACTACAATAGGGCTGGGCCTGCATGAATTTGGATGCATCCAAGGGAAGGGTATGTTAGACAATCTCTGCCAATCAGCTGGATCTGGAGAAGTGGCATAGGAAGAGCTCCAGAACCACTTGGAATAACACTGAACTTCATCTGCTGGGCCACTCCTGGCCTTTGGGGCCCTCTCATCCACCTGAGGGGAGGGTCCCTTGACCTCATAAACTTAACCACTATATTCCCCAGTGGCTTTCCTGGGTAGGGGGAAGCAGATGACAAGCAAAGCTAAGTAAGACAAAATGCCTTTAGCTGCATACCAATCTACTTGATTAACACCAATAACTCTTTAAAAGTAGTGCTTACTACATATATGTCTATGACCAAGATGGAAAAACAGGGACCAAATTTACCCTCCCCCTTGAAACAACCAAAAACAAACAACAAACAAACAAACAAAAAATGAAAACAAAACTAAAAACCCCACAAAAAAAATCAAAACACACACGAAAGGATGGTTTTCAAAACAATGGATATCAGACAACAAAAGACAGTGATCCCTGAGGCGGGAAACAAACTTAGTGAACCCTATCAATAGCCCTGCTTAGTACCTTGAGATTGTCCAGGCCACAGCAGGAAGAGGGGGGAAATAAGGTGGAGCCCAGCAGACTTCCTTAGCTGAGGAGACAGAGCTGAGAGTCTGAGGGGGCAAAAGTGGCTAGAATTCATAGGACAGAGTATCAGAGAGGAGAGAGATGAGAACCCCAGGGATGTACAGAGGGTCACTCTGGAGTATTAGGTAGAAGAATGATGAGCACGTGCATGTGGGGAAACTGTCAAAAGCCAAGGAAAGAATCATACAAAAAGATCAGAGGAAACAATGCCTGGTGCTCACAGTGTGGCTGGAAACAGTACCTGTTCCCACAAGCCAGAATGGAAAAACTCAAAATTCACAAGGCACTAGGTAAAGTACTCAGGAAGTCTTTGCCTCAGTAGTGGAAATTAACTAGCCCTAGACTGTGAGCACTGCTCCAGCCCTATTTACCAAATTATAAAAACAAGACCCATAAGGATCAAACAGTTTTCAAGTAGCTTAACCTCACACCAAAACAAAGCTTAATAATATCCAACACGGTAAAATTTTCTGTCTGACATCTAACCAAAGATTAGCAGATAGGCAGAGGCAAGAAATCATCACCTGTAATGAGGAGACTAAAAGCACTAAATCAAATAAATAAATAAAAATAAAAAATAAAAGCAGCATATCAATCAGAAAGGACTTATAATTGACAGACATGTTAGAATTGGACATAAAAACAGTTATTAAACAGCTATTACAACTGTAAAGTTTTATTAAAAATGTTTGTGTATGTTCAAAGAGTTAAATGGAAGATATTTTTTTAAAAAGGCCCAAATCGTGCTTGCTTCAGCAGCACATATGCTAAAATTGGAATAATGAAGAGAAGATGAGCATGGCCCCTTGTGCAAGGATGACATGCAAATTCGTGAAGCATTCCATATTTTTCCACACAGAAGGAAAAAAAAAGGCTCTAATCAAACATCTAGTTATGAAACCTACAATGTGAGATGAAAAATGCATTGGATAAGAGTAACAACAAATCAGTCATTGTAGAAGAAAAGATTAGTAAGCTTGAAGACATAGCAATAAAACTATCCCCTAAAAAAACACACAGGGAAAAAGGAATTTAAAAAAAGAAAAGAACATCAGTGAGCTATGAAGGTATCATTAAGTGGCCTAATATATAGGTAACTGAAGTCTCCAAAGGGGGGAGGTAACATAAAAAATATATGAAGAAATAATGGCTGAAAAACTTGATGAAAATTAAAACACATAGATCCAAGAAATTCTACAAGGTCTAAACACAAGGAACAAAGAAAACTGTGCCAAGGCACATCATAATCTAATTGCTCAAAACCAGTGATTAAAAGACAATTTCAAATCAGCCAAAGAAAAAAGTACCACACAAATAAAGGGTGCTTGGAATAAATAGTGTGACTAACAGAACTTTCAGGATAATACTCCAAGGTTATAATTATTCAACTTCTTCACAAGAAAGAACAGCTAAAAGCACACAAAGCATCTTACCTTAAAGAAAGAATGAATAGCAGCTGTGGCTTCACTGCGAACCCTCAGTATAGAACCCAGAGCATTAGTTCTACACCGAAGGTGAGGATATTGTCTCAGATACTCCAGAGGATGCCTCTCCTTATATTTAAAAGGGAAAGCCTGCCAATAAATGGGAAAAAAAAACAAATTAAAAGCTAAAAAAGATAATGTTCTATAAATAGCAGTTTCCAGGACACTTGTTAAATAGTAATGCTTCAAAACAAAATTAAAATGTTTTCCCTGTTTCTTAATATAAGTGAATATAGTCCACATAATTCCAAATTAGTAGAATGGTGGATGGATTCAGAGATGTGGGTTTGAATCCAGCTCTACTACTTATTAGGTGTGGCACCTCGGGCAAAGTTAACATTACTGAGGCTAATCTGTTATTTATCAAATTTCCACCCATTAGCTTATATCAGTCACTACTTACAAATAGAGAGATTAGGATATAATTATGCAAAATAGTCCACTGTTTGGCACATAAGAGTTCAGAATATTGTAGATATTAAAGATTATGTTTTCTACAGCTGTGTACACACAGCTGGTGTTCAATTTTAAAGTCACCCAAATGTCTTGGAAGCCTACAGTCATTTATAATCAATTGGCACTGTTCTTCCCTGTTTATCAACATGTCTAAGAACATGAGGGAGGGTCAACAGCTTTCTGTCATCTGGCAGAGTAGTATATATTTACAAAAATTTCAAATTATGACTCTATGTAGAAATATTACACCCTGCCTACCCTCATGTTTCAAGATTAAGAAGACAGAAACAAACCTTCAGACCAAAGTTTTAATAACAGAAAAGCTAAGTAAAAAAGCCAAACTGATAGCTTATTCCATTTAGTCTTATCTATTTCTTTTAGTGCACATACTAATTTATTTCATAATAGAGTAAGTACCACATCTACTAAAGTCAAAATATGACATTAATAAGAGTCTGGAGACTGCCTGCGGATCAGAATTCCCTAATGTCTGAATACTTTACAATGAACCTGAAATCAAGGGGAAGAGAAGGTGAATGACAAAGAAGCCAAGAGAGAACAATTTAAGAAGAGTAAAACACATGGCAAATTTTAATAATCATTATACCCCTCTAAAAAAGCAGAACCAAAAATGGTTACCATCTCCCAATTCCTGAGTTCCAAATTATTTTCATAGTCTACTTTTCAGAAATCTTAGAGCCCGATTCCAGACTTTACATGTCAATTAGTATTTATTAGCATTCCAATTAGTATTTCTTGAAAAATTATTCAGAATGACTTTTTTTAAAAGTTGCCCATTTTCTCTCTTATTTCCTTATATTTATTTTCCTCCAATTATCCAAAAGAAATAAAAATGAATTAAAATGATGCAATTTCCCTATACTTCCTCATTTTTCGTTCATTAAATACTTAAAGACAAGTATAGCAAAACTACAGGGGAGTCAGATAGCTAGTACATCAGTTTCAGCTGTGGCACTAGTCAGCCATACAACCTTGAGCAAGTCAGGTCACCTGACTGGGCCTCATTTTCTCCAGTTCAGAAACTGCATTGATAATCTATGATTTTATACCCTCTAACCTCTTTATCAGGTGATAAATAAAAGCTAGTAACAAAGACTCTTGCAAAAATAAGTATAAACATGTCTCTTTTTTCTTTTTAAGATTTATTTATTTGAGAGAGAGAGAGGAAGAGAGAGAGCATGCGCCCACACATAAGCAGGTGGGGGCAAAGGGAGAAGGAGCGAGAAAACCAAGCAGACTCCCTGCTGAGCACGGGGCCCGACGGGGTTCTTGATTTCAAGACCCTGAGATCACAACCTGGGCTGAAACCAAGAGTCAGATGCTTAACCGACTGCACCACCCAGATGTCCCATATATGTCTTAATGTAGGATTTCTTATCTTTGCTCAGCCCAAGCATTACTCCAGTACTGTCCCACAGAATTTTCTGTGATAAATGGAAATGTTCTGTATCTGGGCTATCCAGTATGGTAGCCAGCAGCTGCCTGTAATGACCAAACACTTGAAATGTGGTTAATGGCACTGCGGAACTGATTTTATTTAATTTTGATTGATTTAGTATTAAAATAGTTGATATGAAACAGCCACAGGAGGCTAGTGGCTACTATACTGGTACAGCACAGTTCTAGATCCTGCAAAGGTCATTTCTAGGCAGGGCTTTCCCAAGAACATGATCTACCCCGATGTCTCTGTCACTGCGGCTAACTGGGCATCTTCGTGAAAGTGGCAAGTTTCAACCGTGACAGCCACCCAAAGAGATACACAGATTAATACTTCACTTTCATTCATAAAACTCAATCATCTATATACTTTTTGCTGTACTCTCTACATTCCTCAGGCACCATAGCCTGTTTCAATTATCTGGGAAGTCCAACTGAAGCATGCTCTAAGGGCCATCTTCCCAATAATCACACTTAAAACAGACTGCTAATGTTTTAAATTAAGCCTAAATAGTCTCCATTAAAGTATAGGAGCATACCTTGGCATCGCAATTTCCAACAACTTCAATTTTTTCTGCCTTCAGTTCCACATCTTGCTTTTTGGATGGACTTTTTACCAGCTGCCCTTGAACTTCCACAGAACTCCCAAAAGCCAGTTCTCTACAGTAACAAAAAACCAGCATAAACAAGGTATCATTATATGGAACCCTCATTTTAATACAAAACTTGCTATCAGAACATTCCAATATTTAATGAGAGAGGTTTCACCCTTCTTTGGGCAGCAAATAATTGGGAGAGACTGAAGCAAAGAATAGGTAGGGGATATTATTATGTGAAGATGTTAGAAGAAGAAAGGCCCCCATCAAAAAAACTGAAATCTTGCCATTTGCAATGACATGGATGGAACTAGAGGTTATTATGCTAAGTGAAATAAGTTAATCAGAGAAAGACAATTATATGATTTCACTCATTTGTGGAATTTTTTTTTTTTTTAAAGATTTTATTTATTTATTTGAGAGAGAGAGAGAATGAGAGACAGAGAGCACGAGAGGGAAGAGGGTCAGAGGGAGAAGCAGACTCCCTGCCGAGCAGGGAGCCTGATGTGGGACTCGATCCCGGGACTCCAGAATCATGACCTGAGCCGAAGGCAGTCGCTTAACCAACTAAGCCACCCAGGCGCCCTCATTTGTGGAATTTAAGAAACAAAATAGAGGAGCATAGGGAGGGGAGGGAAAAATAAAACAAGACAAAATCAGAGAGGGAGACAAACCATAAGAGACTCTTAATCATAAGAAACAAACCGAGGGTTGCTGGGGGGGCAGGGATGGGGTAACTGGGTGATGGACATGAAGGAGGGCATGTGATGTAATGAGCACTGGGTGTTAATATAAGATTGATGAATCACTGAACTCTACGTCTGAAACTAATAATATATTCTATGTTAATTAACTGAATTTAAATTAAAAAAAATAGGGCGCCTGGGTGGCTCAGTTGGTTGAGCGACTGCCTTCGGCTCAGGTCATGATCCTGGAGTCCCGAGATCGAGCCCCACATTGGGCTCCCTGCTCAGCGGGGAGTCTGCTTCTCCCACTGACCCTCCCTGCTCTCATGTGCTCTCTCTCTCTTTCTCTCTCTCAAATAAATAAAATCTTTAAAAAATAAATTTAAAAAAATAAAAGAGAGAAAGAGAAAAAAAAAAAAGAAAAAGAAAAGGAAAGGCCTGGGCTCGAAGGATTTTGATTCCAGATAGTTGGAGTTGAGCCTCAAAGCTCTGAAAAGCAGGTTTGTTTAGAAAGATCACTCAGGGGGCAATATGAACATTGGATTAGGGAAATGGGGAGCAGAGATGAAAGAAAAAAGATTCTTTTGTTTAAAAAAAAACAAAACAAAAGACTCACCTACTGTCAAAGCTTGAATCTGCTACAACCTGAAGGCTTTCCAAAGACGATCCATCATTTATATGCAGGAACAAGACTTCCTTCTGGGATCGGACTGAACGAATCCATCCCTAATGAAGAGAAAGTTCTAAATGTGAGTTTAAAACACATAAACATTTTACATTTTCATTACACACGCACATATAAGACTAAATGAAAAAAAAAAATGTCCTCAATCCTGTCTTAACAAATCAATCGCTTTTAGCTCACCCCTAAGCATATCAAATTCAGTATGATTCTTATTGCAGTGAGATACAGCTTCCGCATCACACCTTTTTGTTTTGTTAATAAAATTCACCATTCTGAATAGATGCCTAACATTCCATTAGGTGAAGAGCCTAATTCACATCATCAATTTCCCCAATATTGGCTATTCCAGGTATTTCTTCTTGCCCCTCGCTCCTTTTCACCACCGTAACAAATAACAGGGCACATATTTTGGCCCTCGTCTTCTTTTATATAAAATTCCCAGAAGGGAGATTATATAGTTATAGACTAGAAACATCTTTATGGGATTTTTTTCCCTTTGAGAATGTATCACACAAAGTTCTCAAGAAGCTTTCCATGTGAACATAATTAGTACATAAGCTTTCAAAGACACTCTGAATTTAAATGACAGGTATGGGTAAGTACAAATGAGAGGTCTTCTAGTAGACCAGTACTACTAAAAACAGTTCTCACAGATCACATCTAACTTACATTTAACTAGCACGGAAAAGAGAATATTCTTCTAGCAGACACTGAACAAGTGTTTAACAACTGATGGTGTTTGATGAACTATCAGACATGCTTGGGAAAAGGAAGATGATTCTAGTTAGAAAAACTAGAGTTTTTGACCCTTACTTTGTGTTCCCATCATACCCTATAGACAATGCTATTAAAGCTCTTCTATTACTTATTTCCATGTCCATAATATTTTCAAAGTTTAGGAACCATGCTTTAGTTGCTTTGAAGGCCACTGTCAAGCACATAGTAGATAGTCCATTAATGTTTCTCAGTGAAAGAATATCTACCATGCACTAAAAATCTACTATTGACAAGTGTTTTACTACCTTCTTCATATACTATCTCACCCCTTCCTCACAATAGCTCTGTGGATTATCATTATAATTTGTCTTGCAAGTAAAGAATCTGGGCTCAACGAAGTTAAATAACTTGCTGAAGGTCACACTGCTGGTTAACATAAAGCCCAAATTTGAACCCAAGTCTACCAGAAAGCCCTTGAACTTCTTCTAGGGCTACATTGAATAAATATAACTTGCCTCAGTCTCCCATACAAGGCCTTTCACAATTGAGTGTGCCCATCTTTCTGGTTTCACCTCCCCACGCTTCCCCGAAGGCAGGTGCTCTTTGGTCAGGTTCAATCAATAGTAATTCCCAAAGCACCACTGTCTTGCTTTTCACTTGTTAGTAAAAGATAACATTTGTGAAGCACCGTTTAAAAATGTGCTTCTGTTCTAAGCTCTTTATATTTTACTACTTATTCCTTATAAGAACTTAATGAAGTGAATATTAGAGATGGAGAACATATTTAGAGAAGTTAGGATAACCTCTCTAAATAATTAAAATCACAGTTCCCAAGTAGTAGAGCTAGAATTAAAATACAGTTCTCAGTTCAAAGTTCACGTTATTATCAAACGTCTCTACAATGCTATCACCACCCCATCCCCAGTTCCTCTGCCTGAGGAACTCACATCCTTCAGGACTCAAGCGAAATTTCACTTAATATAAGAAGTCTTCCTTGACCTATGCACATAGTTAAGGACGTCCCTCTCTATTTTCTCAAAATTTTTATACCACCAATACCAATCACATTGCCCCAATTACTAGTCTTAGCCATTAGACCAGGGCTGACATACAAAAATATAATGTGAGCCACATATGTAATTCTGCATGTTTTAGTGGTCACACTAAAAGCAGGTAAAATTAATTTTAATATTTTATTTAACCCAATTATGCCCCAAGTATCAACATGTAATCAATATATATTGAGATATTTTGTATTTTGTTCTCCAAAATTGGTATTTTACATTTACCCTTCCATTTAGACTAGCTGCATTTCAAGAGCTCAATGCCACAAATGGCAGGTAGCTACAATCTTAGGCTGCACAGCACTAAAACGAAAGCCTCTAACCTAAGCAGTAGCTTTTATCCTTTCCACTCCAAAGGGATCATTGATGTATGTATGTCAAATGAATAGATGATGAATAAATAGAAAAGGTTTTGATTTGTAACATGGAAAAAATATGAAACCCAAAGAAACGCAGAGGGGCCATACTGCTAAAAATCAAGGATATCCAAGGACAACAAAAATAACTTCATCAGTGTTTCAGCAACCTACAAGGAATGGCCAAACCACCTTCTTGGTCTACTCCCTTAAGGGCAAATCTATGTGGAGCTGTTACAAGTGATATTAACAAGAGAAATAATAGCAGCCAACATTTATTGACTGTGAGCCACTGTTCTAAATGTCTTAATACCTATCACCTCAAGCTTCAGGACTCTATGACATTAAGGCTGCTATTAGCTTCACGGCCATAAGAAGGAAACAGAGAACACATAAGAGACATGCCCATAATTAAGGAGCCACTAAGTGGCAGATTTGAACCTAGGCAGCCTGACTCCAGAGTTTCATACTGCTACACTCTACTCTTTCTCCTAACTTATTAAACATACATTATATGCAAACCCCCATTTTTAGGCCTTGGGGTGGTTAAAAGTTGAATAAAAGCAATTGTTTAGTTGAACAAGTATTTACTGTCAGCCATGTGTGAATACCAAGACAGATGAGACACGGTGTCAGCTCTCAAGGAGCTAGCTCGAGGCAACCACTATTAACTGTGGATGTTCGTTATGAGGGACAAAGGAAACGTTTATTTTGCTGTATGACTAACAAGTTTACAGGTAATGTCCTGGTACCGTGAAAGCAAAGTTCCAGGACTTCACAGGCATCCCAACAGTTTTGCAAAAAGTAACGGTAGACAAGGAAAAGTGTGAACGCACACAATTGGCTACCTTTTCTCCTTTCCCTGCCTGTCACTCTCTCTGACAAGGCAAGCCTAGTCGTGGAGGTGCCATTTAAGTCACTAAAAAGAAAAACCCACTCCCTTCCCATACACCCACCTGGACCTTAACGCGCTCCCCTTTCGTGTTCTGGGCCCCGAGAGCATCCCGCACGCTCAGTCTGGCTGAAGGTTTGTGTCTCGGGCAGGGAGCGGAGGAACAGGGGCGCAGGGCTCGGATCAGGTACCGGGCCCCAAACATCGCGCGGCTGCCCCAGGCCTTCCTCGGGACCAGCCCCGATCCCGGCTGGGGCGGACCCTGCCTATGGCGAACCTCCCCTCTCGATTGCTCCCCAATTCTGGGCTGCAGCCCTGCACGCAGGCGCTCCACGCCCCCCAACCCCGGCTGCTCCCTTCCCCTTCAGGGGCTCCAGCTCTGTCCCCACAGAGCCTCCCCCTGCGCTTCCCTCTCCCGGGACTGGGTGGAGCGGAGACAACAGAGTCAGCGGCGTAAGCCCAAAAAACCACGCGCCGTAGGCGGCCAAGACAGCTCACGGTCCCACGTAGTTTCCAAACCCACAGCTCAGACCGCCTCCACTAGCTGAAACACGCGGGGCCGCCGCCACTACGTCACACGTCAACGTCAACGTCATCACGCTACGAGAAGGTTAAGAAGGAGCGTGCGCACTTGTGACTCCAGTTTACGGAGAAGGCGGGCTTGAGGCAGGTGCGGGCGGAGTGGGGAGGGAGCGGGCCAGAGGCTCAGAAGGGGCGGAGCAAAGCCATTCCAGCTGCAGGTGTTACTGCTGGGAAAAATGGGGAGCACACCTGGGATGGGGCGTAAGAGGTGTTCATTTCTAAAGCTTGCAGGTGATGCCGAGGAACACTGAGAGGCAAAGGGACTGATGCAGAAGGAAAGCCTCCAGGAGACTTAGTTGTTGAGAGGATTAGCTGGAGGATATCAGTTGTTCCTGAGTTCTGAGCACAAGGAAAGACAAGACATAGATCATCCTTGCTCAAGTCACAGCTGTGTGGTATTACACTTCTAAACAGACAACTGCATAAAAGTGTGATCAGTTCCCTGGCGGAGCCTAACCGTGGGATGCCAGAGACAGCTTGCTGGAGAAGGTATCCCTCTTCTTGTATATGCAAATCAGAGAAAGCACAACAGGCTGTCAAGATGTTGGAGAGAGACTGGAGGGAATGTCAGCCATTGCCTGCTGGAATCTTTGTCTTTTTCCCAACACAATTATCTGCATTTGTTTGACCTGGAAACAATGACCCTTTTAAATTTATCCACCACCCCCTCCCAATTAAAAAAAAAAATTCTATAATTCACTGACAACCATGAAAAGGTTTCCATCTAATTAAAAGATAAAAGTAAGGGTTGGCAACTCAGGGGCGCCTGGGTGGCTCAGTCGTTAAGCGTCTGCCTTCGGCTCAGGTCATGATCCCAGGGTCCTGGGATCGAGCCCCACATCAGGCTCTCTGCTCCGCCGGGAGCCTGCTTCTCCCTCTCCCACTCCCCCTGCTTGTGTTCCCTCTCTAGCTGTCTCTCTCTCTTTCTGTCAAATAAATAAAATAAAATCTTAAAAAAAAAAGGGGGGTGGGCAACTTAAAGTTACTGCTATTATTATGCCCATTTTACAGATACAGGAACTTGGGCACAGAAAAGTGAAATGACTTGCTCCAGGATATACAATACATCCTATAAATCTGAGATTTAAACTCAGAAATTCTGGCTCCATGCACTAAACTATTGTGCTATAGAGTGTCTCAAGGTGGGAAATAAAATTATGGTCCCTTCCACCAAGAAGCTCATGGTCTAGACATGGGGAATGACAACGAAACAGATTATTGCAACATAAACCTATAAGTACCCATAAATATTTGAGCCAAGAGGAGTGGTAGCCTAGAGAAGGAAATAAACTGAGTTTTTGAAGAGGATCAGAATTTTGCAATGCTGGGATGTAAGAAAGAGTACTTCCTGCAACAAGGTGAGCAAGAAAGGTTGCTAGGAGGGCAAACAGCTTGGAAGAATTGTAAAATTGTTCTCAAGACAGACAAAAAATATCTCCCAGAAATATACCAGAGTTCTTGGGCCTTCTTGAACCTTTCAAAAAGAAATATGGAGGGGTACCTGGCAGGCTCAGTAGGATCATGCAACTCTTGATCTTGGGGTCATGAATTCGAGCCCCACATTGGGTATAGAGATAACAAATAAAATTTAAAAAAATGGAAACGTCCAAACACCTTCAGAATTATGTAGCTTTGGGACTTTAACAAAAAAATAACTATGGCTTTGGTGTGCTGGCTACAAAATCTGGGAAGAAGACGATCACAGCATTAATGTGTTTTTCAATTCATATCTCCCCTTCTGACTATGCCTGCCTTGTCCAAGTGTTGAAAAATAGTGACCAATTGGCTCACTTCCTTCCCAGGCTATTTTTCTGTCTTGCCTTCTTTCTCCACCCCTTTCCCCTCAATGTGTATTTTAAGAACTGTGGTCCTTACCACAGTGATCCTGACTTCCTTTACTCTCTCACCTATTGCTTGTCTAAGCCAAAGGGTTAATTAATTTCTAAGCAGGAGACCAGTGCCTACTAGTATGATGAAGACAAGGGAAACCGGTGGGTGAAACTGAAAATTAGCAGTAGTTAATTAAAAATGTATATGACTGGAAGTTGACTATAGCATCTGTGTGTCTGGTACTAAGTTCAAACCACTCCATGTATCTTGTGCTAGATCAAATCATGTTTTCTTATTTTTGTTTTCAAGTTGGGATGACACTGCCTTTTTTAGATTCATCACCTTTCAGACAGTAGCCAGAGTAATCTTACCACAATGAATATATTACTATGTTGGTAACAATGGTTGCTAGTGCTGTAAAATGCTTACTCTGTGCCAGGAAGTTGTCACATATTAACTCACTTAATCCTCACAATAGCCCTCTGAAGTAGGGTTAACATCATCATCCCCAGTTTCCAAAGTAGAAACTGAAGTTGGCAAGGTTTCGAGCTTGTACCAAGTTACACTGGCAGTCTGGCACCAGAGTCCATTCTCTTCCCCACTTGTTACTCCAGTGATTAAACTACTCTTCAGCTGCTCCCCCTACAACGTAAAGAGGACTTGCCTTCTTCAGCATGCCTAGTAGTCTCTCTATGATTCAGGGAGTTCCCTGAGGTTCCCTGGAGTGAGGAACAGAAGTGAAACGTACTTATTGTTACCTTTTGATAATACAGGTCTAGGCAATGAACACTGTCAGCATTAGTCATCAGCTTTAGAGAAGGTTTTAATCAGGTTCAGCATGACAGGTTTCAGCTTCATTTGCAAAACTTCAGGGCTTCTAAAAGGCAAGCATTACTCTGATACTCTGTGTGGTCATAAAATACAACTCTGTGTTCAGGGTTTTCATTATGCTTGAATCTACTCATGAAACTCTCAACTTGGTATCAAGGTCATGACCTCAAAACATAGAGGAACATAGTACCTGATGCAGAAATTATGGAGACATTAGGTGTAGACAAGGAATGGATGGATATTGCTAAGGATCCTGGGCTTCTCTGAAGAAGCTAAAGTTGGTGAGCACAATTTAACTTGAAAAATGGAAAGGCACAGGCACAAAACAGAACAAGAAGTCACATGTGTAGTTTAGAACCTTCAGAAAAGCAGCTCATAATCTAGAAAGAAAAGCTGACAAGTAAATGATCAGTTAAAGGAAAATGCACAGAAGAGCAGTAGTAACCAAGTGCTGGGGGAGTAAGGCAGTTTTCCTAGAAGAAGTGACATCTAAGCCGAAGCTAGAAGTTGAATATCAGCCAGGAAAAGGGGAATTGTACATGCTGAAGAGATTTGGCAATATTCTATACCATGATCCTGGTGGGCTTACCTGTATCAGATATGTAAACATTCTTTGAGCTGTACACTTAAGATTTGTGCATTTCACTTACATATACCTCAACAAAAATATAAATTAAATATTAAAAATAGAGGAATCAGGTCTGCTGCTAGAATTAGAGCATCTTCTTTCTCTGGTTAGTGCAAGAGATTTTTTTTTTTTTTGTAAAACATGTGACCTATTTTCTGCATATAGAAGAGTTTAGAAAATAATGCAATAAAACCTGGTAGCTAACACCTAGGTTTGTCATATCAAATCTTAAATTTTGTCCTATCTCCTTGAGATCTTTCTCCTTCCAGGAAATGGACCTCCTTTGAACCTCTCTGCAATCCCATTTCCCTCTTTTCCTCCTGGATAGAGGTAACCACTATCCAGAATTCAGTGTTTATCATTTCCTTCCATGTTTTATAATTCCATGTAATTATACACACACACACACAATTTTATATATATGTATAATATATACACATCTGTGTACATATACATATATGTTATATAATATGCACATATCTATAGTTTCTTGTATTGTTCTGTATAGTTTTAAAATTTAAATTAATGGTATCTTACTCTATAAATTATTCTGCAACTCAAATTTAGTTTTTCACATATATCCATGTAGCTGCAACTCATTCTTTATAGTATTCTGTCATATGAATATACCACAATTCATTCATTCTCATTCTGATAGTTATTTGGGCTGCTTTCAATGTTTTTCTGTTAAAAACAGCAGTAGATTTACCATGAAGCTAATGAAAGGTAAACTCAGAGCCCCTTATTTGAATTTATGCAAATAAGTCTCATACCCCTCAGCATCCCCCTCTCCCCAGCCCCTCCCCCCCAGTGCTGGGTGCTGCTGGGAGTTGTAAAGAAGAGGAGAAGCAATTAGGAAGCATTTCTAAAGGAACTCAGAAGAGAGGGCCATGAATTTCCGAAGTTCTAGAAATTTCTTGTAACTTCTCTCATTCTAAATAAATATTTATCTCAATATTTGTAGTTCTGTATTATTTTCCTTCAAAAGAACCTCCTAAATTATGTAAGCTTTAAGACCCACAGAACTGGATCTGCCCTACATTATAAGACTGCTGAAAAAACTAGATGGGACACGTCAAATAGTGTCTCTGCATCATACACCTTAAGTGCAGAAGCTATGCATCTTCAGCTTTACTAGGTACTGCCAAATTGCTCTCCCAACTGAGGATTCCAACTGATACATCCTCCAGCAAGCTTACAAGGATTCTCAGAGTTCCATACCTTTAGTGACAATGGATAGAGTCAGACTTTTGATTTTTTACCAATGTTGGGTAAGACAGAGTATCTCAGTGTTTTTAGAGATTTTATGTTCTTTATTCCTTTTTTTTCCCCCTCAAAATTCCATGTCAACCATATCACCCATCATTGTCAGTAGCATAGTGGAAAAGAGCGCTAACCTGGCAATCAGAAGTCCTGGTTCAAATCTCATCTGGGGCCCCCTAGCATCGGAATTTTCCGGAAGTCACTTAAACTCTAGACTTCCTTCACAGGGCTGTTGACAGTATTAACTGCAGCATTTTGTGAATTCTGTGATAGAGAAATGCATGTGGTGTCTGACTGAATACTCCCCATGATTTATGAGTCTTAGAGTTAAGGAATCTCCTGAATTTTATCAGCCAATTCTCTTTCATTCCCAAAGCAAAAGGCTCAAAATGATTTCTATCTACTTTGTATACATTTTAGGTACAGTTCTTCCGTGTATATCAGAAT